AATTTATCTATAAATAATTAATTGGAGGCGAAAATATTCTTGCCGAAATATATATAGTGTTAGGGACAAATAAGACTAGGTTTGGTTAGGATTAGGGACAAGTTAGATTATGGTTACGCTTACGGTTAGGTTAATTATCCATGATTCAATGTTTTTTTCCGTTAAGCGGAAAAAATATGAAAAAGCAAACGGCAAGTTTTTCCTTCTGTTTTGTTTGTATTACAAATTATTTGTAATAAGAGTCATGTATTAAAGTAGTAACAAAGGATTGGTTTGCTGAAGTAAAACTAAATTAAATAATTGCTTATTCAAAAAATAAATTCCACATTAACAAAATGATATTGGGTGTAATATATTGATTGCATCAATAGTACAATTTAGTTTTTATACAATTTAATCTAAATTTAAAAAATGTGAATAAATTTTTAAATATAAGACAACACATAATTAAATGTAAAATTATGCATATATGTGAAAGGTGAACATTTTCCAAGAATTATTAATTAATATATATATTTTCAAATAATTAATAAAAACTTGAAAATAATATACATCAAGTATTGTTTACAACAAATTGTAATCTAAGTTTTTTAATGTTTACAATAGAAAATCCAATGTCACAGAAATAGTTAATTAACTTGGTTGTACCAACGTTAAATTATTTTTCAAATACTAGATTTTTCTTTAAACTAATTGAGTGGTTAGTGTTCGTCTAATTAATTAATGGCTCTTATTTTTTTATTACTTAACTTGCAATAGCAATTCAATAATAATAAAAAAATTCTTTATTTTCTTTAATTATTATTATATTGTATTAAATTACGTTATTTAAAGAAAATATGCTAAGGTCTTGGTTGAGATAAAAAAGTCAGTGTCACGAGAGGGATTCGAACCCACGACCTTCGGCTAAATACGCCGCTACTCAATCATTTGAGCTATCGTGACTTCGATCCTCTCGGATACCACTCTCCATCTCAACCAACAACCATTCGAATTTTCTTTCTTTTTGCCGTTTTCAATTAATTAATTCATTTATTGAAAGAAGTAACTTAGTCAATTGACTACGAAAACGTAAATGGATATTTACCAAAATTAGAATTATGTTTGATTACCTAAATAATTTGAACTATAATTTTGATTGTATTTTTGAATAGTTAAACCGTTGGTCAAGAGTTGCCTTTTTATCGTTACCTGTAGTTTAAACTTTTTTATCATTGCGATTTTCAATTGGTGAAGCGAATCAGATCAAGGATAAAAGGCGAAACAAGACGGCTCTGGCAAGACCATTAATGTTCGAATTGATTCTCTTTGTGCCTCACGACGACGAAAATACAAACCAACAGTTTCGGCTGTTTATTGTACTTGAGTACACATAGAATAAACACCAAGGAAAATAAGCAATTCATGCTGAACTGGATCACTTATTGGGTCCGTCATCACTCGCGATTTTATTGGACTACTCATACGCTCTTCGCTGAGGAAAGGAGGATAAGCAATTGTTTAATTAAGAAATGACAAATTTATACCATGTATCAACAACGGATGGAGTTCAATTGTATTGCTGTTCTATTTATTTTGAAAAGAGGAAATCAAAATTTTATCGAAATGATCCGTGATGAGCTTCTTATTGGAGATTTTAAATAGCCAGGAGATAATGTCCTGTTTTCTTGGTTCTGCGGCCCGGCCAGCTACCTTTAGGTTCAGCGAGGAATTATTTTGTTTTCCAGATTAAGACATTGACAGGATTGACCTGTCAACGGTCGGATTTTCAACGCTTTTACATATGGAGTTTTTGGTTTTAATGGATACAATAGCCCGAGGTGAAAGCGGCCCATTTCCTCGCCTCCTGCACCGCCGACCGCCCTCTAGCGAAATGTCAAGGATCTCGGGGTGATGTAAGGAAAATGTGGTTCCTTGTTCCCGAAGATTTCTTCATGGTTTTTTTTGTCGTTGTTAAGAAGCCCGGTGCAAAATTTTAATGAGCATATCTCATGTCGTAGGCTGTAAAACCACAGAGGCTCTGAATAAATTGCAATCCACTCTCCTAAGAAGCTGACAGCTTTCAAATGTCAGCTGCTTTTTACAAAAATAATAAAAAAAATCCAATAATTTTAATCTTCTAGAAGAGCCCAAAATGAATGAATGTTTGTTTTTTGAAAACTGAGAAAATTGTGTCACACAACTTCCTATAGAAGGTGTTCAGCTACTCATGTTACAAAGTATGCCAGTAGATTCTACATTCAAAATGGAACCAAAAAGTACTAATTAACTATCGTCCGAATCTCAACAGTTTCGGAGTTATTCCCCCTTTTTTTATTTTTTTATTTTTTAATGATATGATCTTGCTTCAAATAAACAATCATAACTCCAAACAAAGGTTTCGGACAAATCCGTTGGTCCTGCTGGTACTGAAAACTACGTTAAATTTAGTATTCAATACTAAACTTGTAAACGTTGGTGAAATTAGCGTTTTAGTAGCCAGAACATTGAAACTTTTTTCTGAACATTGAAAGTTTTTTGAAAAACTTACTATGGTGATTCTAAACTATTTCCAAATTTAGAGACAAGCAAATTTCAGAAAAAGTACTGCATTTAATGTCAATTTTAGAGGTTTAATTGCTTTTTTAATTTTTTTCAAAGATGAAGAAAAGGAAAGAATCAAAATTAAAAACGTTTAATAAATTCATTCAGAACTTCCGTAAGTTTTTTTATTTGTTATTATTATTAATCTTTTCACCCTACCAATCCGTCAACCATGGTTTTTTTCTTTCCTTCATCACTTTCTTCATCTTCGAAAAAAGTAATTTATAAAGCAATTACTAAAAAAAGGATATTATATTAAAAAAGGATATTATCTAAAAAGGATATTAAATGGTGTACGTTTTGGTGGTCTCTAGGTTTAGAAATAATAGTTTAGAGTCACCATAGTAAGTTTTTCAACTTTGAAAAAAAAATAAATATTTTTCAAAGTTCTCGCTACTAAAACGCTTATTTTTCCAATATTTAAAAGTTTAGTATTGATCACATCTTATTGTAAATTTAACTTAGTTTTCAATGGTATCAACGGATTTGTCCGAAACCTTTGTTTTAGAGTTATCATTGTTATTTTGGAGCAATGTCGTAAAATCTTAAAAAATCGGAAAAGTGGAATAACTCCGAAACTGTTGAGATTCGGATCATAGTTAATTAGGACTTTTTGGTTTAATTTTGCAGAGTTTGTTGCACGAGTAGCCGAACACATTGTACACCTGTTTTTTAATGTCAATCTCTCAAAACTTTGCAAAAAATTATATATGTTGAAATCTTTAGAAAATAAAATGCTAAAAACGAATAGTTCAACTTTCTTAAATTCTACGTAACTTCCACATGTAAGAATCGGAATTAGACTTCTCACGGCAACCGTGAGAATCACCTACTCCGATGTGGCAGTTTGGGTTTAGACCTATTTCCTGTCCGTCCTACCCAGCTTAAGACATGCTTCAGGGATATAGACAACTAACTTAAAACTTATAAGCTAAACTTTTACATCAGTAAATAATTTCATAAGTAATATGAGTATGCATTCATTCCAATCCCTTTCTTCGAGTTTTTGGCATTCCAGGCAAATAACTACCACGAACATAGAAAAATCCACGTTTTTCCTAATATGGAATAGAGGACTTAGAAATTCATCTGCTTTGTTCAAGAGCGTACATAGGGGAGCCTACATGCTCTTTATACAGAACCAAATCACACCCTTCCATTGACTTTTCACTCTATTCAGTTTATGACTCTATTCTAAGTAAATCTAGCGACTTTTCCGACTCCGGTTTTCAGATGGCCTCTTGATACTCGAATACAGTAAAATAGTACGTTATAACAATTTTCACCTCTTCATCAACGAAGTATAAAATCTCACGGTATCGTACGGGAAAGCAGCTTCAATCTGTTTTTCATTTCGTTCCCAGGTTCCTTTTAAGTGCTTTTTTTTTCAAACACATCAAATCTGTTAGATTTACATCTAGAAAAAGCGTTAATGAAGGTTCATTTCGTTTCCTTGTGATCCCGCCGTTTTCAACATAAAACGTTTTCAACTTTCTAGTTTCGAGATTATTCCTTATAAACGTGCCGCCGTTTTTGCTGAAAACAAATCACAAAACAGTGGTTCTTTTAAATTTCTGTGGCTACCCGAATTTCAGAAGAGAAACTTCGTTATCTCGTAAGATTTCCTCTTCGGGTCTGCGAGGTAATGAACTTGTGGTTTGATCGTTTCCGGTCAATTTGATCTTCCTTCCACGCCATTTTGGTCTTTACGCGTTTCGACTTCTTGCCATCTGTTCGGGTATGAGCAAGGCGAGCAGGATAAACTCAGCATTGAAGACGGCGAGAAACTGATACGCTCCCGATAGACAAAAACACGATAAGCAGACCGAAATGTTCAGACACGACTAAACTTAGTTATCCTTTCATCATTTAAGCTCTATTTGAAGTTCTTCAGCCTTCTTTAGCGTTATTTTTTAAACCAGAAAAAGAAACATCCATCTCCAAAATTAGCAAACAACTACTGGTGCACTCACCAACAGTACCTTTAATAAGATCTTTCTTTCTTCTGAAAGCATGTTTAAGTACATCATAATACTGATAAACAAGAATAATAATTTCGCTATTAATGTTTCCGCTACAGACTAAAATATCAATCCTGGTTTCAATATTAAATGAAAATATAGACTTGTGACGTTATGTCGCTTTATTTCATGCAATTGGATTTGTATTTTAAATGTTAAGAAACGACATTTTAAGTTATATAATTTCACTTTGTAAATTCAAAACATTTACCAACGTTCACGGCAAGAAGAAAATACGGCTTTCGTCTTTCTTCTGAAGTCATGGTTGAGCCTGCAGTTCTAATCTTACACCGTATTACCTAATAGAACGTTAGATAACACCTCTAATAATTCTAGTTGCGTTATTATTTGTGAATTTTCTTGTAAAACTATACCACACGGTATAATTTGTTGCAGCACAAGGACAGTGCAGGAAACGAAAGGATGGGACGTGTTCAGAGTGCTGCCTCCGAAGGTGGACTCTGGGTCCATGGAGAACCAAGCCTGTCTGGAGTTCACGGTAAAAATCCTCAAAGTCATCGCATATCTCGTCACGTTCGTCATAGTGCTAGCATGCGGAGTTATAGCGAAAGGGGCTGTGTTCTTCATGAGCTCCCAAATCAGGCCAAACAGGGTCGTACCCTTCTGCAACAAAGATTTAGGTATGCGAGGTTTGCATTAAATGGTCAAATTTCTGTGTCTATGGGGTAGAACAACGTCCATTTCTTTCTTTGTTCTATATTTTTTTAAAATTTTGCAATAATTTATCTAGGAGATACATTCTGCATGATGCAGTTACTTGATTTTTGTTTCATCATATTGAGTATAATAATGAACTCAACAGGTCTTATGACTAAAAAAATAATTATGACATCATCAATGGCTACACATCATGATGAATGATGTTCTACCCACTGTCTTTCTCATATTATTAAATTTTTAAACTATACTCCAATAAATTAGACATTTTTTGACAACCCTTTGTATTATTTAATACTTTCTTCTTTTTGGATGCTTTATTTGTATATTAATACTGTATGGGTGAGCGGAAGGAACCAAGATATAAAAATTCTACCCTGATTTTTGATGACGATGTTTATAAAAAATAAACTGCTTCTTGTGTTATTAAGAAAGTATTTTCTACTTTCTTATACATTTAAAGTTCACTCTACCTTACATTGTATTTAATTTTTTTTTTTTAACTTTCCAGGCAGAGATAAGCAATTTGTAGTTAATTTGCCTCCTGAAGAAAGAGTTGCTTGGACTTGGTGTTTGATAATTGCGTTTGCAGTGCCAGAAATTGGGACATTAATACGTTCTCTTAGGATATGTATTTTCAAGTCATGGAAGCGACCTCCGTTCAACGACTTTTTATTTGTTTTTGTCATGGAAACACTGCACGTCGTAGGATTGGCCTCTCTTGTGTTCATCATACTGCCGGAGCTGGATGTCGTCAAAGGGGCCATGCTGACAAACTGTGTCTGCTTCGTACCCGCTGTTCTAAGTACGTTAAATCAGTGCTTTTACCAGTTGCTTGTAATAATTGTAATAAATGTGCAGGTCTCGTTTCGAGAAACACCAAAGGGTGTACAACGAGGAGCGAGAAGACTGAAGTGTACATGAAAGCGATAGTTGACATAGGGGCGATAGCAGCACAGGCGACGGGATTTGTCGTCTGGCCCATCCTGGAAGGCAGCCACCGTCCAAATCTGTGGCTCATTCCAGTCACTCTTTTCTTTATTAGCTGTGGATGGTGGGAAAACTATGTATCACGTTATTCGGTTTTTGGTACTATTTTCTTATATTGCAAATTATACTAACACAATTAAAAAGCAATTCAAATTTAACTGTGTAAATTTTACTTTGCCAAATGAAAGTTTTCTAGTTAAATGATATTTCCTAAATTTTCTTTTTAGTTTTTACAAGACCACTCTGGAAAGTAAAAGAAAGGTTGAAAAGGACACGATACTTCATTTATATTTTCATGTCAATCTGGAAAATCTTAGCATTTGTCATATTTGCTATATTAATAAGGCTGTATCGTGGTGAGAGTGTTCAACATCTTTTCTCCTTGTTCAGTCGAGGCTTCTCACAGCATAAAATTAGAATTACTGAGGTATTTTGACTCAATCTATTTTATATTCATAGTGAGAGTGAAATCATTAATTATTATTTCATATTCAGATAAAACCAACCTTTGGAACTACTACACTCCCGGATCTTGCAGATATTGTCACAACTGGAGAAATTGTGGATATCGATGCTGACTATAACACTGCCATTTATGTTCTGCTTATACAAATAACAGCAGCTTATCTCTGCTATATTTTCGGTATGTTGAAGTGATCATAAAATGTTTATAAAAGTTAAAAAAAAAATTATTTTGTTTTCAGGTAAATTTGCTTGTAAAATTGTAATCCAGGGCTTCAGCTACGCCTTTCCAGTAAACCTGACCATACCCGTGACAATTTCACTTCTCATTGCGCTTTGTGGTCTACGTCATGATGATCTTTGTTTCTTTCATCATGTAATTCCAGACTATTTGTTTTTTGAATCACCTCCAGTTTATTTCCTGAACGATTTTATTTCAAAGCAGGTGAGGCTAATAAATTCCTCAAATGTATTGAGAAATATTAAAGAAGAATTATATTAATTAAATTTTTCTTTAGCATGCTTGGATATGGCTTTTATGGCTTCTATCACAAACATGGATTACTCTACACATATGGACTCCAAAATGCGAGCGTTTGGCAACCACAGAAAAACTATTTGTACTTCCGATGTACGACTCGCTCCTCATTGACCAATCACTCGGGCTTAATCGCAGAAGGGATGATGAAAAAGATGTCAAAACAGAGGTAATTGATCAATAATTGATATAAAAGCTGCTAAAATTTAAACCGGAAAATTTAATTTTGAAGGAGCTTGCTGAGAGAGAAAAAGATCCTGATGAGTATTACGAAACGATATCAGTTCATACAGATGCAAGCAGCACAACGCCAAAAACAGTCAAAAAATCTGACAGCATCACTAGGATCTATGCTTGTGCTACAATGTGGCACGAAACACAAGATGAGATGATGGAAATGTTGAAATCCATTCTTAGGATGGATGAAGACCAGTGTGCTAGACGAGTTGCTCAGAAATATCTTCGTGTCGTCGATCCTGATTACTATGAATTTGAAAGTATGCTTTGGTGAATAATAATAACAGAAAGTAAATAATAATAAAACTCTTGTATTATTTTTAGCCCATATTTTCTTTGACGATGCCTTTGAAATAAGTGATATCAATGACGACTGGTCACAAGTGAACAGATTCGTCAAACTTCTAGTATCGACTTTGGATGAAGCGGCATCTCATGTCCACGAGACCCATATTAGAATCCGACCTCCTGTAAAATACCCTACACCATACGGTGGCCGACTTGTATGGACACTTCCTGGTAAAACAAAAATGATTGCTCATTTGAAAGACAAAGCTAAAATCAGGCACAGAAAAAGATGGAGCCAGGTAAATTATTTAATTAGAAAATTTTTCATTTTGAAAACATTTTGTAAAATTGAGTTATTTCTAGGTCATGTACATGTACTACCTTCTTGGACACAGGCTTATGGAATTACCGATTTCTGTTGAAAGAAAAGAAATGATGGCTGAAAATACTTACCTTCTAACACTTGATGGTGATATCGACTTCCAACCGCATGCTGTTAGACTTCTGGTGGATTTGATGAAAAAGAATCGCAATTTAGGAGCTGCATGTGGACGAATTCATCCTATTGGATCAGGTATTTAAGTTTAAAAAAATATTTTTGAATTTTGCTAACTTTCTCTGTTTTCAGGACCTATGGTGTGGTACCAGATGTTTGAGTACGCTATTGGTCATTGGCTCCAAAAAGCAACAGAACATATGATCGGATGTGTACTTTGTTCACCTGGATGCTTCTCACTTTTCAGAGGAAAAGCCCTTATGGATGATAACGTCATGAGAAAATATACAATTAAATCTAATGAAGCAAGGCACTATGTGCAATACGATCAAGGTATATTCTTTTATTTTATTTGTTTTAATGTGAACTAATGTATGTCTCTTGCAGGAGAGGATCGTTGGTTGTGTACTCTACTGCTTCAAAGAGGGTATCGTGTGGAGTATTCTGCAGCTAGTGATGCTTATACTCACTGCCCAGAAGGATTCAACGAATTTTACAACCAAAGGCGTCGTTGGGTTCCATCAACAATGGCCAACATTATGGATCTGCTCATGGATTATAAAGCAACGATTAAAATTAATGACAATATCTCTCTTCCCTACATTTGGTACCAAGTGCGTTGGACTAGTATGATTATTTACACTTTTGTGTATTTTGTTTTAAAACATAGTTTCTGTTTTAGTTTATGTTGATGGGTGGAACTATTCTTGGTCCAGGAACCATATTCCTTATGTTGGTGGGAGCTTTTGTAGCTGCTTTTAAAATTGACAATTGGACAAGTTTTTATTATAACATTATACCGATTATGTTCTTCATGCTTGTTTGTTTCACATGCAAAGCTAATATTCAAGTAAATACCTTTTACATCAGTTTATGTGAGGGTACAATAAAATTAACATACTTGTCATTTCTCTAGTTGTTTTTCGCTCAAATGCTTTCAACAGCATATGCACTTATTATGATGGCAGTAATAGTTGGTACAGCTCTTCAGTTGGGTGAGGACGGTGCCGGATCTCCTTCTGCTATATTCTTGATGGCTATGACGGGATCGATGTTTATAGCAGCGTGCTTACATCCACAAGAGTTTTGGTGTATAGTACCTGGAGCGATTTATCTATTGTCGATCCCGTGTATGTACTTGCTTCTTATTTTATACTCAATCATTAACCTGAACGTTGTATCCTGGGGTACAAGAGAAGTTCAAACAAAAAAAACTAAGAAAGAATTGGAGGAAGAGAGGAAAGAGGCCGAAGAAGCCAAAAAGAAAGTCAGGCAAAAGTCTTTACTCGGTTTTCTCCAAAACGGTGGCCCAACTCCAGGTGACAACGAAGAAGGCTCTATTGAATTTTCACTTGCTGGCCTCTTCCGTTGCATGTTCTGCACTTACCCAAAACCAATCGATGAGAAGCAACAGCTTGTCAGAATTGCCGAATCCCTTGAAGGACTTCAGAAAAGATTAGACGGATTGGAAAAGTACAAAAAATTTTAAATAACAAGAAATAAATTACATAAATATTCTAAACAATTTATATTACAGAGCTGTTGATCCACATGGTCACCACACAGGTCATCACCATCGCAAGCGGACCATGTCGGCTAGCAGCAAAGATCACAACCGTACAACACATGCATCTGAAGACCCGGCCGAAGAAGATCAACACAGCGACAGCAGTGAGACAGCCTCAACTGGTAAATTATACAAAAAATTACATTTAAAAACATACATAAAAAAACACCACTTTTTCAATAATAGGAGAACCGAAAATCGAAAGGAATGATGACATTAATCCATTCTGGATCGAAGATCGAGATCTCAAGAAGGGCCCTGTTGCATTCTTATCGGCTAACGAAGTTTCATTCTGGAAAGATCTTCTTGACAAATACTTATTCCCCATTGACGACGACAAAAATGAAAGGGTAATTAAACTTTTTTATATATTAAAAAAATAGATTTTTTTCTTGATATCACAAATGGTATCTTAATAACAATAAAAAATATTAGTAGGGTTATAAAAGTTAAAGATTAAATGCTGTAATTATTTTATTTAAACGTATAAAGAAATTGTAAACATAATGTATTAATAAGTATAAATTCCTATTATTTACAAAAAATATTGGTCAAAAAATTGTCTGAACTGCTCTAAATGTAATAAAAGAAAATTAATTTTGATGATTTTCTAAAAACAAATCTAAATTTTTAGTTTTATTTTTGTAATCAGTCTTAAAATATGTCATTACTCATTAATATTGTAATAGTTATATTTAATTTTTTTAAATTTAAAATTACTGATGTCTAAAAACAGAATTTTTTGGTTTGTTTAACAAAAAGCCATCAATATGGAAAGAAAGGTAACTTTTTTAAACGTACAAAAATTGTAACGATCAATTGAGAAGGAAAATAGAAAAGTATGAGCAGTTTTTAGACTCATAAATGTGTTTTAGGCACGAATAGCCAAGGATCTCATTGAACTCAGGAATTCCTCTGTCTTCGCATTCTTCATGATTAATGCATTATTTGTACTAATTGTTTTCTTATTACAACTGAACAAGGATCTTTTGCATTTCAAATGGCCATTCGGAGTGAAGACAAATATAACGTATGATGATATTACGCAAGAGGTGAGCGAAATCGGTCTCCGCCTGGCTGCCCTGGATTGGGAAAAAGCTGGACGGAGACGTATCTTTCCTAGTTTTAAGTTTGGGTGTTTGCTTCTGTTTCCAGGCACGAATTGCAGCAGATCTGAAGGAATTGCGGAACAAATCTGTATTCGCATTCTTCATGATGAACTCTTTGTTCGTTCTTATTGTGTTCTTGCTTCAGCTGAACAAGGACAGCATACACGTCGAGTGGCCTTTCGGGGTCAAGACGAACATAACATATATTGAAGAGACGGCCGAGGTATCTCCTTGAAATCAGGCTGTTCTAGCATGGGTCACTCAAGGATGTTCTATCTAATTGGGAATATACTTGTGTACATCTTGTCTTAGTGTGGTGGTTACCCATAACTCGATACCTCACTCAACCACTTAAAAGAAAAAAAAAATTATATAAACAAAGGGACTTTTTTTTTCAAAGACACATTAATTCAATAATTTCTCTTCACAACTAAGATATGCACAATCACAACATTTGCACGGATTAACTATGACTACTAGGGCAAATGTATTAAAAGATCTATTGATTTGGAAAAAACAAGACTTAAACTCAATACAGAACTGAATAAAATTGATGGGACTTGATGCTGTGAAGTTAAAACTTGACCAAGACTGGATAACAAACTGCATAACAAGTGTTTTTTTTTTAACGAGAACATGCTCACAAGTGTTTGTTAACACAAGTAAAGCACATTTGAATGAAGCATGTATATGTACATCATTAACAATATTATATTAAGGCCCTGACTAAACAACAAAACAAGCTGTGGCAGTTTCAATACCAGAACTCTTCTTTAGATATCATTTCTTTGATTATCATACTCTCATAGATTTTTCTTTCATCACTCACATTTCTTTCTCATGATTTCATTTCATTACATCAATTTCCATTTTAAAAACCAAACTTCTATTGAAGAATAGTAGAAAAACCTATTAAATAAAAAGGAAATGTGCCACAACTCCATGATTTATGTATGTCTTGTGAATAATATAAATATATAAATATGTATTTGAATATAACATGGTGTTTGGTTGTGTTGTTTTTATTAAGTTCAAGCAGACACACATTTATCATCCTCATTTTCATTCATATTCATAAATATTGTATTTTATCAAATTCAACCAACTTTATCCAAAAAGTGATAAATAGTTGAATAGATACAATATTATTCATTTGTTTTGAGTGACACATTCTTGACAGGGTGTCTTAAATATCACTTAATTAGAAAAGGAACACAATTTTATTTTGTCACACAGCTTACATTTGATTTTCAATTTTCTTTCACCCTTCTACCATTCACCTTCATACTCATAGGTCCATCGTTCTGTTGTTTTTTTGTGATTTTTGTTTTTGTGTTTGCTAACATGTGTTGTTCTCATTTATTAATAATAATTTGGACTGAATGTGTGTTTGCTAAGCCTTCTTTTTGATTTACCCAAAATTAAATTGCTGGGTTGAGTGCATGGATGTTTGTGTTTATTTATAAATTTTATCGATAAGCAGACAATATCGATATTATTTATTAGATTCACTAATTTCGTGGTCCGTTCGACCAATTAATATGTTACAATTAATTAAGGTTTTTAGTTGAGATAAAATAGTCAATGGCACGAGCGGGATTCGAACCCATGATCTTCGGCTAGATACGCCGCTGCTCTACCACTTGAGCTATCGTGACCTCGATCCACTCGGACACTAACTTCCCATCACAATTCAAAAAATTCAAAAGGTGGGGTTGGGATGGGAAGTTAGTGTCCGAGTGGATCGAGGTCACGATAGCTCAAGTGGTAGAGCAACGGCATATCTAGCCGAAGATCAGTGTTTGAATCCTGCTCATACCATTAACTATTTTATCTCAACTAAAAACCTTAATTAATTGTAATTATTTATTAGATCTAACTCAGTGTGTTGTCATTATTATAGTCTATCCATTTTTTAAATTGTTATAAAGTATCATATTTTTAAATCAAACACATAATTTTAACTTTTTTCACCCCTGAAAAGTCAATCTAGTCTGATCAGATAAAATATAAAGGAGCAAATTACTTCCAGGGATTTGTTGATGTTTGTTTTTCATGTTCACAACTTGGGAAACTCAGTGCTTTTTTCATGTTGTTGCCCTGTGTTCCCTTTCTTTTTACCACAGCAAACATCAAGTTTTCTACCTAACTGTTCCAGCATTAATTTTAATTGTTACACCCTTTTATTGTTTCTACTAAAACAAAAATGATCCAAAGAACAGTAATTACTTTTAAAGTTTCAAATGCCTACTGTATATTGAAATGTGTGTAAATTATCTTTTCTTGTAAATCAAATTGTACATGTCGCTTGAAAATTTTGCACTAAATATTTAAATGCTATCAGTAAATAGTAGTAAAAAGTTGAAGTAAAAGCATGTTCTTTATATGTTGTTACAATTTAAATTAAACTGTTGCACATTTATCTGGTAGATTTTAATAATTTAAGAAAAAGAGAACATAATAACTGTACATATTACTGATCTTTGGTTAATTAATAAATTAACTGTTTTCACAAAAAATTGAAGTACATGAGTTATTGCTAATTTATTTCTATGATATGTTGAGCTAATGAATATTTTTTTATATATTTTAGGTACTCATTTCTAAAGAGTATCTCCAACTTGAGCCAATTGGTCTTGTCTTTGTGTTCTTTTTTGCATTGATTATTATCATTCAGTTTATCGCTATGTTGTTCCATCGTTTTGGAACTATTTCCCACATTTTGGCATCGACAGAACTTAACTTGTGTTGTAATAAGAAGGTGTGTAATAAATTAATTTTTTGTTTGCATGAACACAAAAAATAATTTTCTTATTGCTTAAAATCAATTTTTTTTAGGTTGAAGAAATGTCTCAGGAAACGCTACTGGATAAACAAGCTGTTGACATTGTCAGACATCTTCAAAGACTGAAAGGTATCAACGGCGATTATGACAATGATTCCGGATCCAGTGGTGATAGAGTTGGACGAAGGAGGACTATTTATAATCTCGAGAAACAGAAACAGAAGACTAGAACAATCGGAACACTCGACGTAGCCTTCAGGAAGAGATTCTTGCAGATGAAAATGGAAGATGGTGAAGATGCCGAACATGGTAAGATGGCTTTCATTGTAAATGTAATAGTGAAATAAAACATTTCAATTGATTTTGCAGGAACTCCAGTTCTTGGGCGCAAGCTCACAATGAGAAGAGAAGTCAGGGAAGCTCTCGAGGTGAGAAGAAGATCTCTTCAAGCAGAGAGAAGGAAATCTCAAATGCAAACATTAGGCGCTCACAACAACATCATACGAGGACAAAGAATATCAAATGCTGGTGTTAGTGTGAAAGACTTGTTTGAAGGCCACAACCCAGCCTACGAACCTGGCGAAGATGAAAACAATTCCCTAAAGCTGACCAATGTCGCCAGAAATTGGGCTGAACTGGAAAAGAATGGAAATGCACGCTTATAAATGAATTTCAAAATTTCTTACTCTGTTGTAAATATTTCATCGTTTTATGTATGTGTGTGAATATTTATTCAAAACATATCCATGTGTTTTATTGCTCAACATGCTGCAGGGGCTGCATTTTTATATGTTTTTTATTAATTATACAATGCTGTTTGATTGAGCATTGTCTGTATTGAAAATTCAAATTTATGGGGTTTTGTAACAATTGTGATAAATATAAGGCCCAAAATTTATAACACCCTCCAGATATTATTGTGATCAATATTTTTGTTATAATTTAATCACTTACATTAAGAACAAATATTTTGTCAAAACATTCATTGTAAAAAATAAAATGCAATGAAGTATTAAATAATTTAATGATTTTTTGTTGCTTTTATTGATCCAAGTCTATTACAAAAATAGACTGAAGCCTGTTGGCTCGGGAGAATCACTTTCATAGTGGCAAAGGGTGAAGCAATTTAATGTAAGTTGTCTAATTGAGCTACAAAGATCGACATTATCTTTGTTTGAAGAGGACATAATCCATTTAACTATTCAAGTTCCCTACGAAAATCGGATTGAACGCACATCGTTTCAACAGTGTCTAATCAATTTTGAAAACAAGCCCAGTTAGGAATGCTGAAAATAATTTTTTACCAAAAGGCAGTAATCCTTTATACTTTTATTAATAATTTTATTTACTAAAACGATACATTGTTGAATTTATGTAAATTAAATGCAATTAATCAGAATTTACTTAATTATCTGAACAACTACCATCCAACAATTCAATCAAAGTTTTTAAAATTATTAATAATACATAATATACATATTGTAGAAATGATCACTGATGACTGATTTATCCAAGTTCTAATCTGTACATGCATGTACAGATTAGAACTGTACAGAACTGAGCCTATCACTTCTCGCAGTCCATCAGCAATTCAAGATTTTGTAATTTGCAATAAATTACCCACCCTGGGTGTTGGCAGTCTGGAGTCAGACATCGGTCTTGTCTTTTCATCTGCCAAGGTTGGGGGCTCCAGAGGCTATCAACAGCTAGATCATTTTAGCTCCCAACGCAATAACTTTCCAGATGCAAACCCGCCCACTCTTACTCATTCTTATATGCATTATTTCCTACTCACATGCCTTTCATTCTGTTTGTGTGGTGATATTCCCTCAACAACCTTCACTCATAACATATAACTAACCTAATTGAGGATTGATAGGGGTACTCAATATTCTACCGTCGGCCCTCTCACACTACACGATCATGCTAATAATTACATTCAGTCTAAATACATACAAAGAAACACAAGACATCTACTAAACTGTCTATAAAGCACTATATACTAGGCCCAAAAGTGAGTGTCCAAGTGTCAACCACGCCAATTCTTAATCGAGGGAGGATGACCCTTCTCCTACAAGTCAGATTTTCCGAGGGACACCTATCAATAGTGACCTTGATATATGAGAGTTTCCGCCATATATCAACACTGCCACTTTCTTTTAATCATACTTTTTACTGCAATTTTAGTGTCAAAGTGCCAGATTGCAGTGGTTTAAGTCCAGAGGTTGTACATCCTGGTGTAGAAATGGCCAGAAAATAAAAATTAGGGGAAACTTTTTTTTACAAAGATATTTCAACCATGAGGTTATATGAACCCTCAGGGTGCTGGTGTTTTTGAAAAAAAGACCATTTCCAAATATGTCGGGTTCGAATGCAATGCTGCTGGAATTGAACCTGGGACTTTTGCCTTACAGTGATGAGCATTATGCCAACGCCTAAACAGTTGCTGCCTCCAAAGCCCCTGAACTTATTTTTAAAAGACAATCGACAAATATTTTTATATTGTTATGAACTTTGTTTGGTATTGAGAAATGATCTTGTGATTCAAAAGAATTTTTTTCAATTTGCACTAAATGATTTTATCATATAAATGCTATAATATAATGGCACAAAAGTTCAGACAAAAAAACAATTCATTTTCAACACACTGCCCTTTCATATTACCACTTTATTATTTAATGTTTACAATTTTATTTGAAAATACAGAGTAAATGAATTTTTTAATTATTGTTAATAAAAGAAAGAGGGGTTAAATAATTTTCATCTACACCTACACAGCTCTAGCCAAGCTTTGTCTCTTTATTTTTCCCTTTTGTTTGCCATGACAATGGCGTTTCATGTTTGTTTTTCTTCGTAAAATGACAATTTGGCACAGAGAGAGAATGTATTAAGGATTAATTGAATAAAGAAAAGTTGTAATTTCAGTTGGCTTGTTTGCTTATGTTTCTCAAATTTAGGTAATCCTTCCATCTGACATCATTATAAAAGCAGTAGTCTTGCAACTCATCTTATCAAAAAAAGTAATTATGCTTTCATATAGGGTACTGCTTTTCATATATTTTAATTACTTCTTATATATTGTAGTTTTTTGTTTGATTACAGTATCAAGAAGGCTTATTCCTAAAAAAAGTATTGGTGAAAAATTTTCAGAAAAATCAAAACTTTCTCATATTTGAATGTTTGTAACAAAACTTATACTACTGTTTTTTTAATAAATTGTAAACATTATTTTCGTTCAGGGACATATAATTAACACATAAACAAGGGATAGATAGCATCAAAAGGGATGGTCATTTCAAAAGTAAATTAATCCCCTCTGTGCCCTCTTGGTTGATAAAAGGGTCGCTATCTGTTGAATATTTATTGGAAATCTGGCCAAAGGAGAGTTTGGGCGAACAGCGCAAAAGAATAGAGATTTTTCGGACATAAATAATCCATCGTCGTTCAATTCTGGGTCAGACTGGAGGATGAGATCAACTACTGTACAATCCGCCACAATTTTATTTATTTGTTGAAGTTGAATCATCCTGTTAGAATTTTCTAAACTAGTATTAGAGTGTAAACATTTTATAGACTAAGAAGAAAATCAAAGCAAGTTATTTACAAGTTTATTAAATTGTTTATTAAATTGATTTGATGCATAAATTTTACGAGTGATCTTTCTCTCTCTCTCTCTCTCTCTCTCTCTCTCTCTCACTCTCTCTCACTCTCTCTCTCCCCCCTCTCTCTCTCCCACACACACATTTCTTTCTTCCAAAGTCGTAAAATGGACGGCCTTGTATAAAGTATGTTGTGTTGTTGCAATTTGTTACTGCCTTAAAATAGGTCGAAAGCTTGGTTGCAATAACTGAATTTGCTTTTTCATCAAGACCATACCGTGATCCAGAGAATTCGTGAGTAGAAAAGTGGTCAATACAACTAATTAAAAAAAAGTAGGTATGTAGCCAACCGTTGACCCTCGGTATCACGTCAGTAGCCTTTCACGAAGTCTTTCTTTCTTTTTTGTTGCATGTGGTCATCGCAGCTCTTTTTGCGTGCATTGGAATGTTTTTAATGGAGTGAAAGTTGTGGTAGATGCCCTTGTCTTTGTTGTCTTCTTATTGCGATTTCTATTCACAGTTTCTTTATAAAGCTGTTTTATCTGTGTAAGTGAACGTCCATTTCATACTTTAATGTGATCCTTTTTTTAATGTTTATTTTCAGCACGTTTAACAACAAAACGCCTAGTTTCTCTTTCAGTTTAAACAAATCCTTTAATGATTCGTAATTTCGCTATTTACCAATGGTCCAAGACGTATAAATCACGAAAGCGTGAACCATTAAATTTACAATTACAATACAAATTGCGAGGAGTTATGACACGTTAGAAAAAAGGAGGACATTGCGTTCAGGAATGCAGGAGCCAGGTCCATCCGTGGATGTCGTTGACCCACTGAACCTACAATCATAATAATAACCAGTTACAGGTTCTGAAGGGAATGAATCCAGCAATCCCTTGGCTTTTCCCGTTTTTTCTTGACCATTTAAACAAATGCACAGTTTATTTTGGCTACGTTTCAAGGACCAGGACGGCAAAACTAGGATCGTTCGAATAAATGGTGTACGATTATTTTTGTACAATAATGAAATCGTCTTAAGTTATTTTCAAATCAAACAGCGGGAGTAGACGTACCACCAACTAAACTACCGATGAAACTGTTTAATAACCCAACCGTCTCAACAATTTTCAAAAAGGTGTCCAGATATAGCGATTACAGAAGCCCAGGAGCACCTCTGTCAGAAAGTACCTCAGGGTGTACGCAGGGAACGGCAGGAAGCTGACTTTGTCCTTCTTGAGGCCACCGGTCCCTACAGACTAAACTAATGGCCGATTGGGTAATATAGTTAAGTTGGAAATGAGCAGACAAGACCGACTAAACTGTTGCACACAGTTGGCCGATTTTTAGGCGTGTTGCAGGCCAAAGATGCAGTATTTTTTATTCTTAAGTTTTTAGACCTCTTCAATTAGAGCTTCTAGTCATTAATTAATGACATTTTTAACAAACCGGTTTCCGCGAATAACTTTCAAAATGATTAAAAAAACCGGAAAATGAGCTGCTCCTCACCATTGCTGTACGGCGATTTAAAAGGGATTTAGCCACGTAAGCTACTAGCGGGACCCCCACAAAAAAAAAAAAAAGAAAAAAAATTGACATAAGATGTGCTGTATGACTCCTAAACGATGCTTAGGACCAGGACGTATCAAAAGATTTGACCACATCCAGGACCACACTCATTCTTTTGCCTCTAGAACTGAAGAAATGGTGTCAACCATTCTAAACCCTTGGATGCGGACGGAAGCAAAATTGACGAGAAGGGGTGTTAAATGTGAACATGAAATGGGTGTTACATGCTTTAAAAGGAGTGTATCTGAGATTTTCATTTTTGAAACATCACAGAAAAAAGGATGATGGGTCTGTAAGAGGATATGTGATTAGGTGTTTTGTGAAGTTTAGGAATGGGAACGAAAAACGACGGAATACGTCTGTACAATGTGAGTGTTTCTCTTACTCTTTTCATTTCTAAACGATAACTGCTGAATTATTCACTCATACATGCTATTTTTAAAATTATTGATTAAATGATTTTTAGAAAGCTGAATAAAAAAACTTTCTATTGTATTATTTTATTTGGAGATCGTGAGATACGGTCTGGTATGACGTCGGTTTTAGAAAAACATTTTCTTTGTCGTGCCAACGTTTCGATCTTTAAATTCACTAATTTTGGACCGCTTGACCAATTTGCGATCTTTATTGAGATAATTTTCAGGGCTCAAAGTGTTTGTTTTCCACGTAGATGTGTCATTCACACGACAGACAAGAATGACACATCTACACGGAAAACCGGAAAACAAACACTTTGAGCCCTGAAAATGATCTCAATAAAGATCGAAACGTTGGTACGATAAAGAAAATATATTTTTCTAAAACCGACCGCATTTCACGATCTCCAAATAATCATTAACTAACGGTTACTAAACACCACTATTTTTTTGGTTAAAGAAAAATTATGATAATTACATAACAAGTAACATCTGCAACTATGAAGGAGGTTTCTCATGAAAAAAACATATTTGTTAACGAGGTTTTAATTGATATTTCATCAAAGGAGGAGTTTAAAAACATTTTTGTTTAAAGAAAACTATAATTAAAAAAAGCCATATTTAGATTTTAAAGTTAAATTGTCTTCTCGCACCCTCCGGTTGTTGACGTAGGGAAATCTCACTTAAGTCCGTTCGAGTATCACTTGACGCCTGATCAATA